TCTCTTTTATTGTCCCTGGTGACCTGACCTAGCCTAGACCTTGAATATTATACCTTTGACATGATGTGTGCTTCACCCTCTCTTGTAGGCCTAAAACCAGGTTATGGGTGATTCTCAGTCAATTCTTTGCCAAATGTGCCAGAAATCCAATACCTAATGTGAAACTTGCAGCTTTGATCCTTGACCTGACTTACCTTCTCTTGAGTAGTGACCTGCTAAAGCAAACAGAATTGGTGCTAAAAAAGTATGTCTTGTCTATATTTTGCAGTGCTTTTTCCACTGTATTTCTATGACTTTTCCTTTAGAATATGAATGCAGCAAAATCTACCCTGGCCTCCCCCCCCCCCCAGCAGACCACGTTCGACCAAATACCCCAGTGGTATATTTTGCAGTGCTTTTTCCTCTGTATTTCTGTGACTTTTCCTTTGGAATAAAGAATTGCAGCAGAATCTACCCTGGCCTCCCCCCCAGCAGGCCACGTTCGACTGAATACCCCAGTGGGCTGCTGGTTAATGATGGGCTGCTTGGAGTGTGATAACCATCGCATGGGAAAGGGCTAAATCAGTCCACCTAAAGTTTTCCCATGAAAATTCTAACACCTTTTCTGTTCATCTGTTTGCCTTATCTGTCCACTGAAAACTAAGTGAGCCACATGGAATGCTTCCCCTTTTACTTAGTCATGTGTTGTATTAGGTATTATGTGAGTGTTTGCGAGATTGATGTGCGATTTTAATTATGTCTGATGTCCCAGTAACATTCCCCATTGATTTACTGATTGACGTGAGAAAGTGAAAAGCCCCGTTTTACGCGGACCTTTTTCGAATAAACTGATTCTGATTCTGATTCTGATTCTTGTATGTATAACAATTTTTGTAGTTGCAGTGACATGGACAAGGAAAGTTCACCAACGGCTGTTCATTTACCACATAAAGTATGGCGCAAGCAATGGAAAAAGATGAGACGGAAGAAACTTCGACAATTATCAGCCAAGTTCCGAGATGCAGCTACGGAGCAAAAAGAACTGGAGCTTATGAAGAGTCATGCTTACCGGTCCTGGCTGTTGGAGCAAGAACATTTAGGAGTCATGCGGGAGGCTGAAGAACAGGAGGCTGCGCTGGTCAGACACCAAGCATGGTTGGAAAGGGAAAAGCAAGCTAAACTCGAATGGGATCAAAGGAAGCTGAAAGAAAGCCAGCAAAAAGAGGCTCGCGAGAAGCAAGAGAAACAAATTCAAGAGGAATGGGAAGCTATTAAAAAGGCTGAAGAAATGGAAAAACAGAGAGATGAAATGGAGCAGCGTCAGAAAAAGGAGAAACAGGAAGCCCTGCTTCGTGATGCTCTCTCAGAGCTGTGTCAGCCCTCTGTCCAGAACCCTCCCGTCCCGTCAGCTGAGGAGCGTACCGTGGAATCTCGTCCCGGTCTGCAGCTGTGTCCATTCTTCGAGAAGACTGGCTGCTGTCGCTTTGGACCGCGGTGCTCCCGTAACCACAGACATGTACTGCTGAGTCGCTGTCTGCTGCTGGAACACTTCTATCAGCCGCTCGGCGTGCGGTATACACTCGATGACGAGCAGAATCTGGATGTCGGCCTCGAGTTCGATGACGCGGAGAGGGCACGACATTTCAACAACTTCTATGACGATGTGCTGCCTGAACTGCGATCGCGTGGCGAGGTCGTTCAGTTCAAGGTTTGTCAGAACTACGAGCCTCATCTGCGCGGAAACGTATACGTACAGTATGCTACGGAAAATGAGGCAGCGCGAGCGTTTAAAAACTTGAACGGACGGTGGTACGGCGGAGAGCAGATATCTGTGCGGTTCGTTGACGTGCAGCGGTGGTCCCGAGCCATATGCGGCTCATTCTTTCGGGGGAACTGCCCGAAAGGCAGAAACTGCAACTTCCTGCACGTGTTTAAGAATCCGAACGGTGAGTTCAGGAGAGCTGACCGGGACCTGCCGACGTCAGTGGAGTCGACGCGGCAGAGGTCCTCGTCCCGGAGAGAGACGAATGGCTGGAGCACAGAGAGGCGCGGCAGTGACCGAAGCTCAGAGCGGCGCGGCAGTGACCGGAGCTCAGAGCGGCGCAGCAGACGACCTTCGGAGGATGCGAGGCGGCGCTCCTTGTCGACCAGCAGACGCACGCCTACCGAAAGGAAAAGAAATAGGAGGGAAAGGAGCCCGGATCGTAGGAGTTCTAGCAGAAGGAGAGACCGAGCATCGACTGATTATGATTCGCCCAGAAACGAACATCGGAGCACCGAAAGAACGCGCGGCAGCAGAAGCCGGAGGGACGACCGATGCTCTCTTGAGGAAGGTACCAGTAGTGAACGCAGAAAGTCACGGAGAAGTCATAGTCCAGAGTCGAACGGACATCAGGATGACAGCGAAAGACATACAACACACCGATCTCACGAACGCTCCCGGAGTTCTAAACGGCGCCGCTCTCGCAGTAACGATCGTGAGCGGAAAAAGAGGAGCAAGAGGTCTCCGAGTTCGACGCACCGTCGCGAATCGGGTAGCCAGACACGAGAAACGAATTCTACCGAAGCTGGCGGGTCCAACAAGGCGGACCGCGATCCAGACTGCCGCGGCGAAATGGCAGAATCTGATTCTACATCACTACGAAAATCCCCGGAGGTGGCATTGGCATTGAGCCAGGACGGTTAAAAGCGTATTTGTACCATTCGTTGACGTTCTGAAGCACTTTCAAAAACTTTGTCATCATCATGAACTCACAAGAACGCGCATGTGATTACACTCACTGGTTAAATGATCTCGCTACTTCGTTATTGTTTGGGTGACATGGCTGTACCGTCATGCTGTTCTTTTCGTAGGAGGCCAGTATGTCGGTGTCTGTTAGCTACTCCCATCATTTCACTGAACATGTTGCGCACTGCCCCCAATGTCCTGCGTGTTTCCTTGACTGAGATGTCAGTATTGCGAGCCTCTGCCGTGAAATTTCGTCGAAATCGCTGAGCTCGACATCACTGCGAAGGCCGCCCGTTCCTGCCGTCCAGCCGACAAGCAGCGCCAGGTATGTGATAGAACTTAAATCTATAGACTTTTCCTATGGTAAGGGATATCGTTATTCGTTACCAGCCTGAGCATGGCTGGTGTCCAGGGTGTCTAAATAGGATATGGCATGCTCGGGTTTAAGTCCAAATCAGTGATGGTTGTTACGGAGCGAGCGAAGCGAGCGTAGTCTTTCCTTAGATTAACGGAAATTTCTGAGTATGAGCGGCCGGCCGGCCGGCCGGCCGGCCGTGCGGACGCTTTTGCGAGGCTTATATCTCAGCAACCACTTGACCGATTTACATGCGGTAAATTTTGTAGGGTAGCTTCATTCCTTCTACCAAGTATTGGACTATTCCCGATGCATGTGGGTGACCCCTTATGCACGTGCCACGTGCAAAACGGAGAGGTGTCAGTTTTGTAATTGTTGCAATATCTCGGTAACTACTTGGCCGATTGCGCTGAAAGTTGGCATGTAGGTAGGCACCCACTAGGCACTGCATATACATGTGCCAGAGTTGGGGTGCTGCTGCACGTGCGCACGTGCAGGGGTCGTTTCCAGATCTCGAGAACGGCTCGACGGATTGCGCTCAAATTTGGTACACAGTTAGGGACCGGTTAGTAGGGTGCCGTGCACAAGTCAGTTGGGACCCATTTTGCACGTGCGCACGTGCAGGGTGCCGCTTCCAGATCTCGAGAACGGCTGGGCCGATTGTGCCCAAATTTGGCACATCGCTAGAGACCGGTTAGTAGGGTGCAGTGCAGTTAGTTGGAGGTATCCCCTCGCAATTTCGCACGTGCAAGGCCCACCCTCTCGCTCGCTCCGTTAGTCGCCCCAAAAGGCGTTATACTGGTGGTTACCTTTTAGCTGTCGTATCATGTTTACTGTGCAGTTGTGCATTATTTTTGAAATCCGTTTTACCCTTTTCGTGCTTGTAGAATATGCGCCGGAGATGACAGAATCTGCAGTGCTGATTAAGTCTTTCACTGATGGAGGGGGCAGATGGCTTTCCCCTCTCTTGTTTTTTTTTTCGGAAAGCTCTTGTAAAAAGTTGCAGATAGTGACGAACCTTTGAATGCTTTCGTGTTAATCAATCCTATAGATTTTGTTAAGTTTTCATGACCGTGATCCGAATAACCGTTGACATGTGACCTCTGCCCCGAGGCATACTTCTCAATCGCTGAAACTTCCAAAGCAGTGCGCGGTCGGTGCAGGTCGGAGATTCATTTTCTTGATTTCTAATGAACGAAGCTTGTAGTGCCGAAAAAGATGTGCCTGTGTTAGGAAAATTGAGGTAACGATTAAGATATGTAAGCCATTCCTCGGCCTTGTGGTTCGTTAATCCTGTATGCTTAAATCGTGTATCTGATTGCTTCTCTGTTTCTGCTGGTCGCATCCCTCCCTCGTACCCGTTTCAGTGGTGTGATAAAACCGCTGCTGATGTTGTGTTCTGTCCCTTTCTCAGAGCTGCGTCCGCTAACGGCGGTGCCTCGGCAGACCAGACTCGTCTTCTCCGGCCGGTGACGGTGAGTGCCGTCCAGATGTCACGGACAGAGACTGAACACGAGCCCGGCACTCTCAGCAGCTACAGCGGTCCCCACGACACAGCGGAGCACACCGTGACATCTAGCGACTGAAAAGCTAGCGACGGCAAAATGTGTTTATCGCGTAGACTAGGGGGCGCCCCGTGCCATCCGGTAATCCAGCGGAGCGCACCGCATCTTCGCGAGCCAGTGGAACGAGCGGCGGCATCCCCGCCACACTAGACATTGGCTGTGATATCATGGAATTAGGGGGAGTCATTTGTGTTACCTGAGCTGTGTTACCTGGCGTTAAACATCAGATTTTGTATTGTCGAGTGCAGGTACAGTAATACATGATCTTTTTGTTTATTTACAGATTTTCGGTACTGAAAAGTTGAAGGTCCTAGTCCCATTATTGGAGATCCCAGTCCCTTCATGAAAATGTTGGTTTGTTGCGGAAAGGCCAATCACAAGGTATTCGTAATCATAAAATCAAACTAGATGTTCAAATAGCATGATATATTTTGTCGATGAGAACTAATAACGGGCACATCCCTCTCCCCCTCCCTCTCCCACACACACACATTAACACACATACCACGCATTGGCGCTGCGCAAAAGCCGCACTTGCTCGGGCTATTGATTCCAATACCAACAGTCGTTAGCTGTGAGCTGGCGCTGATCTGAGATCCTCGTGCTGGGAGATGGCTGTCGCTCTGACCCCTCCCGGGTCGGGCGTCATCAGGTGATGAGGGGCCGTTTGACGGGCCACAGGCTGGTGTCGCACTGGCGCGCCTCGTGACACTGGTAGCGGCCCAGCTGCTGGTCACACCAGCAGTCGACGCAGTTGACGGTGTAGTGCAGCACCTGGTGGGACGGTCCCAGCCACGAGCACGGCCCTGCCGGCAACACAGAGACGGCGGTGATTATTCCTCGGCATACTCTTCAATGGCCCAAAAAATTACATAGTGATAGGATACAGTACTGAATTTTCACATAGGATGTTAAAGGTTTAAATAAAAGGTTCACATTTGGCTTGGCAGCTAAATTTGGGTTCGCTGGTGGTCTTTCCCTACTGCTAGCTCCATTAGATAGGGGTTGTTGACGATGTACTACGATGACCTTAGGTGACCTTAATACGCCGTCGTATGCCTACATAAAGGCACTCTCTGTGCAAAATGAAAAAAAAATATTTTACGTAGGACATGAAGTTAGGATTCTTGCTAACCTAGAAGATTCTATTTTGATTGAATGAAGGACCAAATTAGAGCTCTAATAGGGATTCTTTATCAGCTCAAAGAAACTCAGGCACGTCACCAACGTCCTCCCCTCGGGCCGAGCGTCCAAACTCATGAATAGACTACGGTAATTTGAAAACGAGCGAAGTGAAGTGTAATTGACGAGTTCCACTTACCTGTGGTGCCGATCATGTGTTCGATGCTGCTCATCAGGAAATCATAGACATCCTCTCTGCTACTAGAAACTTCATCAGCTGCATTTACTGCTTTCAACAAAAGTGTCATCCATACGTAGCATAAATATTGCCCTCGAGTAGTTAGTAAATGGGCCATACCAGAGTTTGTTTTCGTAAACGTCTTCTTTTTTTTTCACTACCTTGGCAAATGGAATGCATGGATCGAATAAAAAAGATATGGTTTGGATGTGACCAAGACCATATGTATATTTGTCTGTGGCCATGTGATAATGTCATGTTCTTTGAGCTAAGCAACTACAAATTGCACGTGCTAACAGTTACACGTGCCTGTTATTTGTTTGATTAACCCACTTGGAATAAGTAAAATTTGAAAAAGAAGAGCAGAACGAAGACCGTAGAAGTGTTTATAACAGCGTCGATTTAACAGTTGCTGCTGTAAATTTTGAGTAAATTGGAACTCGTCAGTGAATGCGTATTAGTATGCGTCGCTAAGTTCACGGACACTACTTGGCTGGCTGGGGACAGCTAAGATGAGGAATTGTCGACTGTCCGCTGTCGAAGGAGGCAATATGTATATTTGTAGGGATGAAATGAAGACAGTGTTAAGATGCGCTCATCTCTAAACGCCCACCTTTGTTTTCGTGTTTATTTGTTGGCCCATAACACTATTAAATAGTAACACATTGATCCGTTATACAGTTACACACACGGTAGAGAGGAGTTTAAGCTGGCTTAGCACCCGCAGAGAAGAGGCGACGAGCGTATCACACTGCTCACAGCGACTTGAGCTCACCGGCTTATGAGATCGAGCTCACTCACGTACGCACACACTACAATCATGTAAACGAACATCCGCGATGCAACGCTCTCTGATCGACGCGAATGCCTAAATTGTGAGATCATATTCAGTCATGTGGGCTACGAGCCGCTACAAAAGAAACTACCATATTTGCAGTATACCTAATTGTATCAAAAGCGTTTCCCAGATGCTGGAATAGCTTAAACAAATTGCCTAGTCCACTGCATGTATAAACCAAAAATAACAAAGCAAATAAAAATAAATAAATTCAAAGTACTATTAAAGCTCAGTATGAGGTTATAAGCTTTATGTGTACGCGAATCACACACAGCGTTACACACATCAGCAGAGGTTCTTTGCACCAAAATACATTTCCTGGCAGGTCCAAATTTTACCGACAATTTGCCTTGCCGCATAGGTAAGAAAGCTTCCCTGATCGGTAGCCATATCACCGTCGAATAGCATGCCTTCTTTATTGATTTGTTGAAACTGAGCTAAGCTCAATAGTTAAGCTGTGGCTAAACTGGAGCATTCACCGACTGGGACGTCAGTTCTGTACTGACCGCAGCCGACTTAAGTGGCCCTACTCTGTGACTGATCCGCACGGCACGTGTCGTGGACGGGAGCACGTGGCGTGACCACGTGCGGCACGTGGCTGGCCGTACTTATTGAGTCGTCACACTCGCCTCACCGCCACGGTCAAACGATCAATCGGTAATCCTTAGCGGGCATTTAACTTTTGGTAGAAAAGGCATTAAATTTGTATTTAGGCTGATCAAAAGTCTCACTAAATCCACTTTCAATATTCGGTTAGGTAACTAATGGAATACTTAATCTTAGGGGAAATCCACTGTTTATATTTTATGAAGTACAATTTTATTCCATCGGCCGTAAGCTGCACTGGCATTATCCGACTACTTATTTTAATGGACCGGCAAGTAAATACGGAATGCACAACCTTATTTCAGCCATTTGAGCCGTTTTCATGGTCTTTAACAACTTTTAATCATGGACGGCGGGTGAAAATGGATTATATATCTATATCTTACATTTTTACTCACCACCTCCCTACATAGCTCGTAGGAATACCTATACATTTTCACCTAGATACATCAGCTATTATGTTTACAAAAATAGCTTATGATTGCACATTTAATCACGTGGAAGTGTTTGTGTCTCGCCTTTGAACGATGGCATGGCGCGCCCTGCGAGTACAGCCGATGGCGAGAATTGTTTGAGCGACGCAGGACCACGGTGGTCCGGGAGCGCCAATGTGACCATGTTTTGGGGGCGGTTGGCCCACAGTGCGCCCTGCGCGGGCCGAGACCACGGGCGTCAGCGCGGCGCAACACAGGCAGCGACTGCAGTCGCCTAATGACCGCGGTCATTGGACAGAGGCGACAGGCCAGACACACCAACGCACATCGATACATCGAACACCAAAATAATAGTGAAACACGCAGCGGCATAACGTCTGTCAATTCAGCAGCAACGAATATCAGCCTCACAGCAGCATATTTCGGGGTCTTTCGATTTGGCTGAAAATCGGTATATAGGGCCTCCTCGATGCGCTGATTCCGAAAATGTACCTCTTTGGGGTGATATTTTGCACCGTTAACGAGTTAACGACCAATTAACATTTTAACGGGAAACGGCGGGGTCTTTCGATTTGGCTGAAAATCGGTATACAGGGCCTCCTCGATGCGCTGATTCCGAAAATGTACCTCTTTGGGGTGGTATTTTGCACCGTTAACGAGTTAACGACCAATTAACATTTTAACGGGAAACGGCGGGGTCTTTCGATTTGGCTAAAAATCGGTATACAGGGCCTCCTCGATGCGCTGATTCCGAAAATGTACCTCTTTGGGGTGGTATTTTGCACCGTTAACGAGTTAACGACCAATTAACATTTTAACGGGAAACGGCGGGGTCTTTCGATTTGGCTGAAAATCAGTACACAGGGCCTTCTCGATGCGTTGATTTCGAAAATGTGCCTCTTTGGGGTGGTATTTTGCATCCTTAACGAGTTAACGATCCGTTAACATTTCAGCAGCATATATCGATTTCAGCAGCAAATTTTCGGGGTCTTTCGATTTGGCTTAAAATCGGTGTACAGGGTCTCCTCGATGCGCTGATTCCGAAAAGGTACCTCTTTGGGGTGGTATTTTGCACCGTTAACGAGTTAACGATCAATTAACATTTTAACGGGAAACGGCGGGGTCTTTCGATTTGGCTGAAAATCGGTATACAGGGCCTCCTCGATGCGCTGATCCCGAAAAGGTACCTCTTTGGGGTGGTATTTTGCACCGTTAACGAGTTAACGACCAACTAACATTTTAACGGGAAACGGCGGGGTCTTTCGATTTGGCTGAAAATCAGTATTGAGGGCCTCCTCGATGCGCTGATTCCGAAAATGTACCTATTTAGGGTTGTATTTAGCACCGTTAACGAGTTAACGACCAATTAAAATTTTAACGGGAAACAGCGGGGTGTTTCGATTTGGCTGAAAATCGGTGTTCAGGGCCTTCTCGATGCGCTGGCTCCGAAAATGTACCTCTTTGGGGTGGTATTTTGCACCGTTAACGAGTTAACGACCAATTAACATTTTAATGGGAAACGGCGGGGTCTTTCGATTTGGCTGAAAATCGGTATACAGGGCCCCCTCGATGCGCTGATTCCGAAAATGTACCTCCTTGGGGTGGTATTTTGCACCGTTAACGAGTTAACGACCAATTAACATTTTAGCGGGAAACGGCGGGGTCTTTCGATTTGGCTGAAAATCTGTATACAGGGCCTCCTCGATGCGCTGATTCCGAAAATGTACCTCTTTGGGGTGGTATTTAGCACCGTTAACGATTCAACGACCAATTAACAATTTAACGGGAAACGGCGGGGTCTTTCGATTTGGCTGAAAATCAGTATACAGGGCCTCCTCGATGTGCTGATTTCGAAATTGTGCCTCTTTGGGGTGGTATTTTGCACTGTTAACGAGTTAACGATCCGTTAACATTTCAGCAGCATATGTATATCGATTTCAGCAGCAAATTTTCGATTTGGTCTTTCGATTTGGCTTAAAATCGGTGTACAGGGTCTCCTCGATGCGCTAATTCCGAAAAGGTGCCTCTTTGGGGTGGTATTTTGCATCGTTAACGAGTTAACGACCAATTAACATTTTAACGGGAAACGGCGGGGTCTTTCGATTTGGCTGACAATCATTTCCGGAATCAGCGCATCGAGAAGGCCCTGTGCACCGACTTTCAGCCAAATCGAAAGACCCCGCCGTTGCCCGTTAAAATGTTAATTGGCCGTTAACTCGTTAACGGTGCAAAATACCACCCCAAAGAGGTACATTTTCGGAATCAGCGCATCGAGGAGGCCCTGTATACCGATATTACGCCAAATCGAAAGACCCCGAAAATTTGCTGCTGAAATCGATATATGCTGCTGAAATGTTAACGGATCGTTAACTCGTTAACGGTGCAAAATACCACCCCAAAGAGGCACATTTTCGAAATCAGCGCATCGAGGAGGCCCTGTATACCGGTTTTCAGCCAAATCGAAAGACCCCGCCGTTTCCCGTTTAAATGTTATTTGGTCGTTAACTCGTTAACGGTGCAAAATACCACCCTAAAGAGGCACATTTTCGTAATCAGCGCACCGAGGAGGCCCTGTATACCGATTTTCAGCCAAATCGAAAGACCCCACCGTTTCCCGTTAAAATGTTAATTGGCCGTTAACTCGTTAACGGTGAAAAATACCTCCCCAAAGAGGTACATTTTCGGAATCAGCGCATCAAAGAGGCCCTGTATACCGATTTTCAGGCAAATCGAAAGACCCCGCCGTTTCCCGTTAAAATGTTATTTGGTCGTTAACTCGTTAAGGGTGCAAAATACCAAACTAAAGAGGTACATTTTCGTAATCAGCGCATCGAGGAGGCCTTGTATACTGATTTTCAGCCAAATCGAAAGACCCCGCCGTTTCCCGTTAAAATGTTAATTGGTCGTTAACTCGTTAACGGTGTAAAATACCACCCCAAAGAGGTACATTTTCGGAATCAGCGCATCGAGAAGGCCCAGTACACCGATTTTCAGCCAAATCGAAAGACCCCGCCGTATCCCGTTAAAATGTTAATTGGCCGTTAACTCGTTAACGGTCCAAAATACCACGCCAAAGAGGTAAATTTTCGGAATCAGCGCATCGAGGAGGCCCTGTACACCGATTTTCAGCCAAATCGAAAGACCCCGAAAATTTGCTGCTGAAATCGATATATGCTGCTTAAATGTCAACGGATCGTTAACTCGTTAACGGTGCAAAATACCACCCCAAAAGGGTACATTTTCGGAATCAGCGCATCGAGAAGACCCTGTACACCGATTTTCAGCCAAATCGAAAGACCCCGCCGTTTCCCGTTAAAATGTTAATTGGCCGACGGCCGTTAACTCGTTAACGGTCCAAAATACCACCCCAAAGAGGTACATTTTCGGAATCAGCGCATAGAGGAGGCCCTGTATACCGATTTTCAGCCAAATCGAAAGACCCCGAAAATTTGCTGCTGAGATCGATATATGCTGCTTAAATGTTGACGGATCGTTAACTCGTTAACGGTGCAAAATATCACCCCAAAGAGTCACATTTTCGAAATCAGCGCATCGAGGAGGCCCTGTATACCGGTTTTCAGCCAAATCGAAAGACCCCGCCGTTTCCCGTTAAAATGTTATTTGGTCGTTAACTCGTTAACGGTGCAAAATACCACCCTAAAGAGGTACATTTTCGTAATCAGCGCATCGAGGAGGCCCTGTATACTGATTTTCAGCCAAATCGAAAGACCCCGTCGTTTCCCGTTAAAATGTTAATTGGTCTAACGGTGCAAAATACCACCCTATAGAGGTACATTTTCGGAATCAGCGCATCGAAAAGGCCCTGTACACCGATTTTCAGCCAAATCGAAAGACCCCGCCGTTTCCCGTTAAAACGTTAATTGGCCGTTAACTCGTTAACGGTGCAAAATGCCACCCCAAAGAGGTACATTTTCGGAATTAGCGCATCGAGGAGGCCCTGTACACCGATTTTCAGCCAAATCGAAAGACCCCGCCGTTTCCCGTTAAAATGTTAATTGGCCGTTAACTCGTTAACGGTCCAAAATACCACCCCAAAGAGGTACATTTTCGGAATAAGCGCATCGAGGAGGCCCTGTATACCGATTTTCAGCCAAGTCGAAAGACCCCGAAAATTTCCTGCTGAAATCGATGTATGCTGCTTAAATGTTAACGGATCGTTAATTCGTTAACGGTGCAAAATACCATCCCAAAGAGGTACATTTTCGGAATCAGCGCATCGAGAAGGCCCTGTACACCGATTTTCAGCCAAATCGAAAGACCCCGCCGTTTCCCGTTAAAATGTTACTTGGTCGTTAACTCGTTAACGGTACAAAATACCACCCTAAAGAGGTACATTTTCGTAATCAGCGCATTGAGGAGGCCCTGTACACTGATTTTCAGCCAAATCGAAAGACCCCGCCGTTTCCCGTTAAAATGTTAATTGGCCGTTAACTCGTTAACGGTGCAAAATACCACCCCAAAGAGGTACATTTTCGGAATCAGTGCATCGAGGAGGCCCTGTATACTGATTTTCAGTGAACTCGAAAGACCCCGCCGTTTCCCGTTAAAATGTTAATTGGCCGTTAACTCGTTAACGGTGCAAATACCACCCTAAAGAGGTACATTTTCGGAATCAGCGCATCGAGGAGGCCCTGTATACCGATTTGCAGCCAAATCGAAAGACCTCGAAATATGCTGCTGTGAGGCTGATATTCGTTGCTGCTGAATTGATAGACGTAGCGGCATATGCGAGTAAAGCTGCTCAAAGATCGGATGAGGCTGTCAAATTACTAAGATCTTAGTGAATATGGCATTGGCTAGGCTTGCCCTACTCATTATGAGTTGAACTCTAAAATGATTTTTGAACTCTCAGTAAACGATAGATATGGGACGCTGTTTATGCAGACGGTCAGTTTTTTATAGAGTCCGTCCGCGCTCGGCGCGCACCGCCCCGTCGGGCGGGCTAGCCCCACTGGGGTGCCGGCGGAGTGCCGGTCGGGCCGCCGTGGGCCTCGGCGGGCGCCAGCCGGCCGCAGAACGAGGTCTTCTGGTGGCTGCGCAGACCCGACGTGCTGACGTAGCGCCGGCCGCAGCTGGTGCACACGAACGGCCGTTCGCCCGTGTGCAGCCACAGGTGCAGCTTCAGGTGCACCAGCTGCGTGAACCGCGACGGACACTGGTTGCACGCGTACGGCCGCTCGCCAGAGTGGATCCGCATGTGGGTCTTCAGGTTGGAGGTGGAGCTGAAACGCTTGCCGCACATGTGGCACTTGTGCGGCCGCTCTCCTGTGAATACAGATAAGGGAATCAGTGGAAGGGATGGCGTGAAATTTCACGTTGCGGAGTTGTCTGATTGTCAGTCGATCAGCGGGGTGAGCTGAACCCGGCTGTGTAGAATGCTCAGAACCATTCCATCCACCTTTCGGGACCACACCATTGACCAATGGCCATCAGAATCATTCCGCTGATCATTTATAGCCATTCCACTCATTCGTCATTTCGAATCACTCCACGTACCATTCCATGCAATTCATCTGACCGTCTATCACCATTTCACTGGCCATTCATTACCATTCCGCTGACCATTTTGTGCCATTCCATCGACCTATCGCCTGGCTCACCTGTGTGCACCAGGTTGTGTTTCTGCAGGTGAGCTAGCTGAGTGAAGCTCTTGCCGCACACCTGGCAGGTGAAGGGTCGCTCGCCGCTGTGCGTGCGCAGGTGCACCTTGAGGTTGCTGAGCTGGCCGAACGTCTTCCAGCACTGGTTGCACTGGTAGTGGATCTTGCCGTTTTTCTTGTTGAGCGGGAAGGGCAGAGCGCGCACGCCGCGGGGCTGGCCGGCCCTGCCCGGCGGCGGAGGCGGCGCCGGTGCCGGTCGGTCGCGGCCGGTCTCGGGCGCCGGCGGGGGCGGTGGATGCGGAGGACCGCACTCGGGAGGCGAGTGGCGGTCGTCGAGCGGCAGCAGAGCGGCGCCGAACGCCGCCGGTTTGAACGGCTCTCCGGCTGACGGCGGCCGCGGCATCGTGCTGGTAGCTGCCGGCAGCAGGCGCCGCTCGCCGGTCAGGGTAGCGCTGACCGACCGGGCCAGCGGCGGCGGACGGTGCGCCGGCGGCGGCACCAGCTCGCTGACGGAGACCTCGCGCCGGCGCGCCGCCTCGTTTTGTGAGCTGATGTGGTACACCTTGGACATTTTGATTTTGACCATGTGGAACTCGTTGCTGTGCTCCCGGTGTCGGAGCGGCGGCCGCGGGGTGCCGGGCCGCGCCGGCGGCTCCGGCGCTGGCCGGTGGCAGTGCCGCGTGCGCCGCGGCCGCTGCGTCGGCCGGCTGCAGTCGAGCACGAAACTGTTGTCGGTGTCCTCGTCGCTGCTGGTGCCGGGCCGAGACGAGTCGGTGAGGCTGTCGTGGCTGGTGCAGCCCTCGTCGGAGGAGCGGCCTGGCGAGCACGGCAGGGAGGTGCCGGCGCGCGCGGCCGTCCGTTCCGACTCTGGCTGCCACGGGCGCGGACCGAGCCGCGGCGGCGGCCGGCCGTCGACCCAGGCGTCGGCCGGGTGGGCGCGCTGGTTCCACCCGTCTGAAGGAGTCGTGGGATGGTGAATGGGATGTCACAACATATACAGACAGCCCACAGAGATCGCAGATAGCTGCTAACATGTGCTGACAGAGCATCCACACACACTTCAGACCGACTGAAGACATCTAGACATCTGACAGAAACTCACGCGCACTGCAGGTCACCCGCAGGCCCTGCAGTCAACATGTAGGACGTATGTAAAGACTAAAGAGAGCTTCAGATATGAGATAACCCTCACACACAAGAGACAACTTACAGCTACAGACAACCTTTAGACATCGCAGGCAACATAACTATATGTAAATTGTACAGATTTCCTGCGGCCAAACCTCCGGACCCCGACCGCTAGACCGTAGCATTGTGTCGGAGGGTCAAGTCCATCAGAACGGCGATACTTTCACATGAGCGTTTTAATTTAGACAGTGTGGAACTTCTACGGAAGAGGCTTTTGGGCGACAGTAGGGGAAGTTGGGGGAACGCCGAAGACTTTTTTTCTGACGCCCGTAGCACGCAAGGTAGACAACATAAGCTATTCTTGTTGGCGTCATTCGAGAGACCAGTCTTTTGCTTTTCAAACATACCAGGCGCATTTGATGAATTCGCATACCGTTAAGCGCACAAACTAAAAATATCAAAGAAGTGACTTTTTCGGCGTTGCCCCGGACTGCGGGGAAAGCCGAAAATGGGAGAAATGATCTACGGGGAATGCCGACATTGATGTTTTGCCATTTTATCTCAAACTTTATCCAGAATTCATCAAAGCTGACACGCGTTTTAAGAGCTTGAGGACGCGGTGCACACTGGAAGTTATAATTGTGTGATGTAATAAGGAAATGCCAGGTAAATCATTCCTTATAGGTAACAGGCCGTTGTGTCGGTTGAAAGTGTAATTTGTGTGACTAAAAATACGCGTTGCTATTCTACAGCAGTAAAGTCCACGTAGCGTGCTTTTAACACGTGCGTAATCGCACGTTTTCGGCATTACCCCAGCCAGCCATACTTTCATTTGCAGGCCCATAACTTTTCAACGTGCTGTATAAATTTCAAATAGGCAGCACGCTTATGCAAAGACATGCTAAAGATTACTTGACCGAATTGGCCAGACAAACAGTAGCATAGTGAGTAAGAAATGCAGCTTCAAAGGCGCATGTAGTACAAGGGAAACGTACCTTGAAAACGCTCTTGGCGCCCTCACAGTCGAAGTATTCCGAATGACGACTCGTAACAAACATGCGATAATTGTAGTCACTTAAGCTTCAGAGCATCACTGACAGGTGGCATCCATGTCTTACGGTTTTCGAAATATCGAATTTCGGCTTTGCCCCAACTCCGGCATTGCCCCAACTTCCCCTAAAGCAGGCCAAGCAATGAAATGTCATATTTTCCATGACGCCGTTTTGAAAAAGACGATATAGCATGAAGCGGGACCAGGCAACTAAAGAAGAAAGCGCTCAGAGAAAAACCTTTATACAATTGATCAACTATAACGGGATTTTACTGGGGAGCAGCAGTGACGACTCACAGGTATGTTTCAGTATCACGGCGCTGGACAGTGAGGAAGTCGGTAGCTGCGAATACACTTCGTCATACGGAGCACTGCGACCGAAGTTCCGTGAAAAGTCGCGAATCGTATAGAAATCCACCTGGCCCTGCAACAGAAAACGAGTCCTCCGTCTTGAGCACGGTCTTTCTTGCAGATATTGAACTACGTCAAGCATAAAAAGCGCATTACAGCGCATATGAACATGCTAAGTCACGATACGCATGAAGTACACGAAGAATAAGTAGGGACACGTAATAAGTAGGCACTTGTCAGGAATGTTAGGAATGCATTTGTCATTGCCATTAGGAATGTTTATTGATCGATCGTGTTATGCAGCGTTACTTTGCCGCTTCTCTTTAGAAATGTATCTGCAAACACTGGCAATGAATTATGATTATTGAACACGGAAACACCTATAGTACGTTACCGGTTACGGTGATAAAAGAAAATGAGTCCATTACAAACTGCATGCAAGAAGGATTATAAACACAGAAATAACATAGAGTGAAGAGCCTTTTATGCTGGACTCCTGATGGATACGTAAAACGAGGATGACGATTTTTACAGTTATTATATTTTTTATGAGATGTTGAGGCAACATCGTCTCACCTCTAACGTGTCACTATCCGTTTACCGTGCGCCGTGCCCGTGCGTCCGGGTGCCAGTAGTCGGAACCAACCATATAGAATTCGCAGGGGATTCGTCCACCTAAATGTACACAGGACGATGACAGGAATCTTCGTCGCTATCTAAGTTGCGATCATAAGTACCTATCGCCCCCATCTAACTTGCCAGGAACATCAAGTGTGAATGTTCTTAAAAATTCATTTCAGTAGAATCATAAGTGTCAGTTTAATTCGAATTTTACCGATATTTCGAGAGAGATCATAGGACATCAGGAAATTCTTTTTTACCATTGTGTAATATCTTCGCGAAGGACGGCAAGACTACATCGGTCGCTATTCTCACAGGAGAGCTAGTTAGAACGGCTTCGGCTGACGGTCGATATTCGATAGTTTTCTATTGTTCATTTCTTTCGGTGTAATCAAGTGCAGTCTTAATTCAGCCTAAAGATCTAGAGCGTCAAAGATCAAAGACGGTAAATTGAACTTTTGACCGGTATATCTGATCTGCGATAGCTTCTATCAAATTATTATGGACTATGTATTTAATATCGTATAAGGTTTCTCTAGCTACCTACAGGGTGTCTCAAAGGTTCGTTGACACATTTCCCATGCCCATAAAGCATATAAGAACCGGCCAAAAATCTAAGGTTTTGGTGTCTGTGTGCACACTAGACAAATATGCATGCTTTGACAACTGGTTCGGGAGGTTGGAAATCAAACCCTTTGCTGTATCTCCAAAAATATTTGCCCATACCGATTTTCGTCGCTCCGTCAGCTGCCAGAGGCTGATTAAAGGTTTCCCCTACCAGAACTTTCAAGCTCTTGTAGGGGAATCCCCTGCAGTTTCTGCGTCGGACTTAGGTTTGACGAGCTCCCCGGCAACATCCGCTTCTCCCTGAAAGCCGACAGCTTGCATCGACACCATCCGTGAGTATTTGGTAGGTCTTCTCTGGCGCTAACTCCTTCATGAATGATTGGCGCCGACCTCCCAAGCACCATTTTCCTTTTCAAAACAACCCCATTCCTGAACAAATGGGAAGTGCCAGGGGCAAAATTTTCGCAGCATATCGTAGAAGAATGTGTCGGCCATCTGTTTCTTAGACACATTGTGCAAATTTTTCAAATCCCAAACGTTAGTCATTCCCCATGCCAAGACCTTCGCTGGGTTCCGGAGTGTTTTCCTCAGGAGAGGTTCTGCTTTGTAGACGGCAAAACCTGTCCATCGTGTGGTTTTGTCGGGATTTTGTGCGTAAAAGAAAGCTATTCGCTCCAGATCTGCGTCTTGAAACTTCGTAGGATAATGCTTTACATTAATTGACATTTTTGGCGGGTCAGTTGTCCTTGGTATTGACGATTTTCGTGTTATTTCCCCAAAAATTTAGCGTTATAGATATTATAAACAATTTCAAATGATACTTTGTCTTTATTTTACGATGAGCTGCAATTTTTGAAACTGGGTAACCTCTGTCTGTGAGCTTTTGTCAGTTTTCAATAGTTATGCCTTCATTTTCAGCTGCTTTCCGGAGCACGAGTCTGCTGCCGTACGAGGGTCGTTCAAAACGCTGTTAGTCTCGCATGGTTTTGTCCTTCAAAAATTTTAGCCACCGTTTTTATTAGATGATCATCATGTTGTACTCATCCTCGCCGACACTTTGCCATGTGTCATTTCCGACTTAACCATTCCCATTACTCCTGAAACAGAGAGTTTCTCAGCCGACCCGATTTTGCGACCTTGATTTTCATGCTTGACCCATGGTCATAGATGAACCCTTTTTGTGAGCTCATGAAGGGTCGAATGCGCTTGAAAACAATGAGACTGCTTGAGGAAGGTTGTTATGTTACCAATGCCCATGCAAAATTTCGACTATTAATTTATTGTTGATTCAGAATTATTAACAAAATAGCATGGCTGGTACCTGTCAACGAACTTTTGAGACACCATGTACGACTGAGTTGAACATTGGCTGATCAACTTGAAAATCTGACCCCAGATCGAGTTCATCACCTGATCCAAAGAAGAATCCCTATAGGTCACACAGCACCGGGCTGTTCTAAATTGTGTTGACTGCAGTTATGTTAGTTAATAATTGATGTCAACGAACGAATTTTTCACCTTGGACATACCGTACGCTGAGTGGTTCCTATACAGCACAAGCTTCAGAGTGATCCATACAGATCTCAAACGGTTATGATAGGGATGATGAAGTAACGAGATAATGCTCTCTTCACCTCGCAATGAAAAGTTTATGGGATTATTCAGGCTGTTTTATGTGTAAATTGATGATCCAAAATGTTAAGATATCCTCAATAACTTCTCGTAGCTAAAAATAGTCGTCAGTTGCTGGGGTGCTTTTCATTTAAGTGAGTTTAAATCACTTATGGTGATCTTGGTGATGACGTAACGTGACGAGACTGGACTTTAAAAATTGGACTGCTTGGATTGAAATGCAATAGGATTTACCCGAAACGATGGCAATGATCACACCTTAAACAAATTTATTGACAAAGGTGGGCGTTAAAGTAGTCCTCTCATCACTCGGTGGATTTAGGAATCATTTGCTGAATTTTGTATTTTCTCCCAGAGGACAGCTGGGATCGTACACCTGTACTTATACCTGGCTCTGCAGCGCCACCAGCAGCGACGCGTCGGCGCCGGCGGCCGGCGGACGGCAGTGGCGGGCCCACGTGCCGTGGCGCGAGCTGTCCATCCCCCAGACCTGGGTGGACGGATGGCGGTCACCACTGACACCAGATTCCAGACACCAGTCACCAGATACCCGACGTCATTCGCCAGATACTCACCAGTCACCATATACCATATACCAATCACCAGACACCGTGTACCAGATATCAGACACCATATACTCACCAATCACCATAAACCAGTCACCAGCCGCCACCAGTAGTAGCTAGGTATGTACCAGTCATAAGAATCCATCACAAGATACCAGTCACCAGTCCATCAGTCAACATTACCAGTCACAAAACACTGTTACCTACCAGACACCATGTCACCATACCTATAGGTACCAGATAACCGTCACTAGACCACAGCCAGCTCTTCACCACGCAACAGTCAGCTCGTCACTAGACAACAGTCAGCCCGTCACTGTGGACCAGTCAGTCAGCCCGTCACAAGAGAACAGTCAGCCCGTCACTAGAGAAAAGTCACTCTGCCAATAGAGAACTCGGGAAAAGTTTTTCGGGAGTAATGGAGAGTTGCGTCACAGAGTTATGGGGTGTCACACATGGAGTCATTTGGCCATCCATTAAGAACTCTTGAAAACTCTTTCGCAAAATGAGGAAGGCTCAAAGTTACCCTAGAACACACTCAATAACTCTGCTGGAAAGGGTGTTATCGATGGTTTTCAGGAGTTTTCAGGGGAGCATTTTCAAGAGTTTTGACCCATATGGAGTCAATTTTTTTCTCAGTGCAGTCAGTTTGCACCAGAAAACAATCAGCCCGTCAGACTAGAGAACAGTCGCCCGTCACCGAACAACAGTCCGCGCGTCACTAGATGATGACTAGTGACAACACCTTGATGACTAGACAACAGTCGCTCGTCACTAAACAACAGTCAGCCCGTCACCAGAAAACAGTCAGCCCGTCACTAGAGAAGTATCAGCCCGTCAGAGAACAGTCGTCCCGTCCATCCGCCCGGGCATCAGCACCGCCGGGAGTCCGGTGTCGATGTGCTTTCATAATCGCCAGACGCTGTCTCCAGTCACTGGATTGAGGCCTGAGGGCATGATGGATAACCGAACAATCACAACAAGTAACCAAGCATCTCTTATAAATTTAATTGTGAGAATCAAGGGACGACGTCGAATATCGAAAGGATTAGCAAAATGAAAACATCTCGCCTCATGGAGAGGAAGGCGGCTGTAACTGATCGTAACTAATGCGAAGCAACGGTTGCGCTTAACCTTCGCCCCAGTGGGGGGGGGGCATATGTTACCACCCTGTCGCGTTTTTTGCGTGTGAATAAAAAACCGCGGCGCGTAGCGCCGCGCCGCTTGGGGTAGCTTTTGGTACATCAATTTTGGACAATGTGTGAAATTTTTGACCCCAGGTCATGCCAGGTCAGGTCACCAGGTCAAGTTAACTGACCAAGCCTAAAAAAAAGCTTGCAATCATGTCCGGCCTGCAGTGTTTGTCAGAAAGGTTTTAAACTTGGTGGATTGCATGCTGTTATGGGCGCCTACAATTTGTATATCTCGGATTTTTTTTATATCCGTGACCTAAGGTCAGGTCAGTGGCGTGACCTTTCCATTACAAGTCAATGGAGAAAAATGAAAATGCCTCTAGATCCGTGTGTACGCATAGGAACAGTCCAAATATTTCAGAATCACAATGATTTAGTCCACTCGTGATGACCAAGGTGTCATTTTTGCTGATAGCCTCTAGAAAGGTCATCCGAGGTCATTTGAGGCTACAAACAGTTTTTTGCCAATAACTCGCGATTGGAAAGAGATAGAACGCTGGGGATGGTCTCATTGTGTTTGTCTTGCCGAGACGCATCGACTGATATGCAACATGACCTTTTCCGGTCAGGTCATGACCTTGACCTGAGGTCAAATTTTCAAGTTGACCTTTCAAGGTCAAATTATAGTTCATTCGACGCGTCTCGGCGAGGGGAACACGATTCTGGCAATAGAAATGTCGTGGCTTTTTGTAGTCGAAAGTTATTGTAGAAAAACACTTTTCGTAAAAACAGCTATTTTTTAGTTTTTGCCCTCTGGAGGCTAAACCGTTGACCTGAGGTCAATATTGATATGACCTTTTCAAAAGAAGAGTTCAAAAGCTATCGATTGCTCTTCCATGCGTTTTTGTAGCTATCATAGTTCCTGAGATAGCGGCATGTTTTCTGAAAAATATAATGACAATTGGCAAATTTTGACCTTTGATGACCTCTGGTGACCCCAATATTGCTCTAAGGTGAAAAATGACTGAAATACTTTCAAACGTACGCTTTAAGAGCTATCGACTGCTTTTTACCGCGTCTTTCTAGCCCTCTTAGTTTTTGAGTTAGAGGTGGGTGGTAACATATTCCCCCCCCCCCCCCACTAGGGCGAAGTTGGCTGAGACCGCCACTGGGGCGCGGGTTAAAGGGACTGTCCCACCTTTGCATTAGTTCTGAGTTGAGATAGCCAAGTTGGCGGCCAGGTTCAGAAACCACTATATATCCTGGTCGCAATATCCTCAGTTTCGTGGTGTTAAAGAAATTCGTTCCCTTCATTTGAAAAGTGGGCCTTAGCTAAGGCCCTATCTCTTAACTATTAACGGCCATTTGATGACGTCATCAGCCGTTTCACGCGTTCGACCTGTTTTACGAATAAGTTGAAATCGGCGCCGGGGAAATCACGCACTTTGTTTATAATTCTAGTCGGGCTATCGTTTTTATCCAACAGACTTAGGTAGGCATTGACTAGGTATCATCAAGGTATCATATTGCCAACTACAAAATGCCTAATCAGAGACACTTTTGTTATTGTATGAGCCGCGTCATATTTGAAAGCAAATATATTTGCTGCCAAATTTCCCCCTCATTGGCATGAAGTAAATCCTTCATTACGTCACAAATCCGATCTTAATGACGTCACGATGAAATATAAAAATCGCAATATCTCAAAAAGTAGAGTATGAAAACGCGTAAAAACTTGCAGAGTTCGTCACAATACCCTGAGTATCATTTTCGAATCCTAAACGGGACTTTTTTGAAGGTGGGATAGTCCCTTTAATTTTTTGCTGGAGATGTCACTGACAATTGATGAGTTTAGTTCGGTTTCTGACCTGTTTCTCCACGGAATTCTCCCACATGGCTTGGCGGCAGCGGTCGGTTACTCCCTGGAAAAAGACACCACGGTAAATATGTTGGCTGCTTTACAGTCGGGCATTGTTAGTTCATTGCCTCGAACAGTGGCGCTTATCCGAGCCAACCGCATTGAAACGGGATGGGAGGTGTTTTGCGTTTTTCTTCAAATTGTCTCTTGGGCTACGTAGAAACAAACAGTAAATGTCGTTTTCTAAATGTTCGGAAATGTCGCAAAGGGTTGATAGGAGCCGTCAAATAATAAGAAATTAAAGAGCTTTCTATATCATGCTCTTGCCTTTTTACCTATTTACATTTTTATATGTAAATAGGTAAGTGAACCTCTTCGACATTATCGACAAAAGTATGACATTATCCATAGCGATCAGCTATGTTCCCGATTGGATGTGGTTGACCGACACCGTATATTTCCTCACTAATTTTATGTTTTAAATTTTTTATTTGGCCAATGTGTCGATAATCCGAGCCGACCACATTGAAACGGGGTGGGAGGTCATTTACGTTTGTCGTGCTTTGGTGTGTGTCTCTTTTGCCCTTTCCGATCGAGGGAGTTATTTGCCGTTGTGCTTCTGTCATTCCTCGGCGTTTTTTTCCTTCTCGCGATTTCTCCAGCCATGCCAGAGATAGAAGGTTGAAAGTTGGTATGCCTGACCTTTCAATCATATCTATGTTTGGCAACAAATGCATTTGCAGGTCAGGCCAGGTCAATGACTCATGTCATACGTAATCCTCTACGGTAAAAAATGACGCAACTTTGCAAAGCTCCGGGGAATCCTTTCTTGCAGGGTCCAGGGAATCAATTTAAAAGAAGTAGCAAGCTCACCAGGCCTTGAAATCTGAATAAGTTAAGGTGTATCGTACCAATAATTGTCTTTATCTATCGGTTCTACTCATGTATCTTGTCCCTTTGGCACCGTTTTCTTTCTATTTCTTTTTTTTTGAATTTATTTTTTCAATGGAGCCGGCATGATGACGGGGTGTCACTGAAAGTTTGTGTCTAGTGGTTGAAGCACTTTTATATGTCAGAATCGTGTTCTTTAACTCAATAAAAATGATATATCTTATGAACTTGAGATGGTCTTCAGGTCAATTAATAACGCTTGATCACAAAATTGGAGCTTAATAAAGCTGCTGGCTACCTTGTACAAATATGTTATGAGTTTATGCCTAATACCGGGAAAACGCGAACCGGTGTTCGAACTCGGACTACACGTAAACCTTTGACTACGGGACATAGGCGGCGGAACGGGGGGAGGCACCATGCCCCCTTGATTTTGCCATTTTAACATTAGCCCTATGAGCGGTGTATGGAAAGAATGGGACCAAAAGTCGGCAGTGCTCCTCCCTTAAAGGGACCCTCCCACCTTAACATTAGTTTTGAGTTGAGATAGCCAAGTTTGCGGCCAGGCTCAGAAACCACCATTTATCCTGGTCGCAACCCCCGCAGCTTTATGGTGTTCAAGAAATTTCTTCCCTTTACTTGCAGGGTGGGACCAGCGTGGTCCCTATCTCTTAACCATTACGGGAATCTGATGACGTCATCAGGCTTTCGAACGTCCGTTAAATGTTTAACTAAAACGTTTTGTAGCACGCGGTGGTATATGCTGCTTTGCGCGCAACAAATGCCGCACTTTCAAATAAAGTCGCTAGGAACAGCGGAGATCCCAAAAAGTAAACAAAAGTAAAAGTCTAATATCTTGAAAACCGGTGAATATTTTTCGATGAAATTTGGTAGATATTCGTTTTTGCTCTTTCTGAACCGAGCGACATCACTTTCATGCCAATTCATTAACTTTTTTGAAGGTGGGAGGGTCCCTTTAATTGAAGGTATTCCGCCGCTACTGCTACGGGAAATGCTTTCTACTTTTGTACGC